TACAGGGACGATAATGATGGAAGCGCTCGGTTACGTGATCCGATCCTCTCGCGATCGTAAAAAGGAACAGTCACGTAATTGAGGAAACAGCCTCTCCGACGAGACGCTCGGTTCCTCCTCGTTGTTCCTCACCGTGGTCATCGTACACGGAAGAAACGCGTACGTCAAATTTAACCAAGTCGAATAATCCGACGCCTGACGTCTCGGGAAACGTTTTCGATTACGTACGTTTCACTTCTCTATCGTTACTGACTATTAATCGGGACCTTACGAATTTCGTAAGCTTCCTCGTACGGTGGAAGAAAAGAATTTCCATAGAGCTGCGTTTCGATTAGAATGTGGTTTGTCTTACATGGTAACGTGATTTATTTACTTCTCGAGCGTAGAAAAGTGTTTAAACGCGCGTGGAATCGATGGAGGCATTTAATAGAAAATATCCTGCGAAGTCAGATGTCAACTCAAAACCTGAACTGCTCCCCCAGAGACGAGAGATTTAATCTGACATTTTCTTCGAAGTATCTATATTCAATTACTGTCTATTAGCATATTTAAACAAACGTGTCGGCGTTGCTCATATATCCCACTTTCTACGTACAGCGATAGAACTTGTCCGATTATGCGAGTATGGACTTTTCGAAACATTTTCCACTTTCTTTCATGCTTCGTTTCCTACAATCGGCAGTTACCTCACGCACGATCGTCGCAGAATATTTTTTTCGCGAGTGTCTATACCGCTTTTGGTAATTTTATCGCATCGATCGTCAGAATTATATTACAGAAAAATGTAGGTTGGGCACGCAGGTAATTCTCTGAATATTAAAACCTCCACGTGTAATTTTAAATCGGGCAAACCGCCGAGCGAAACTGAAATTAATTGTAGCAATAACAATTACGCCGTTGATTAAAAGTGGTAATGTCGAGCCGTGAAGAAATAAGCAGAGTAAGCGGCATAAAATGTCACGTAATTAGTAACGCAGAACGGATAGTAAATAACAACTTTCTAGTTGATTATCGGGTTACTCGTAATTACAGCAGCAGAAGAGAAGCGTGTTACAGTATTATTACATGACGCAGACGGTATTCAGTTTACTACCTGGGAGGATTACGAACAACGCAATAATTACGATAATGTATCAGCAGTGAATCTTACATTGCATAATCCTGCTCGCTCGCAATCATAACAACGATAAAAGTGACTATTACACTTGGACGCGGAACACGCGTTATCCTCGAAAGAAACAATACTATTGTGATGCAAACAAATACGATACGATGTTACGATAATTATGTAAAAAAACTGTTAATATTAAAACACTTTTTTCTTCTGTCGAAAAATTCTATCAAAGACCAGTAAATAAATTGAAACCGACGTGTATTAGTCTCCGGGGATTTCGGTAGACAGCTTTCAGAATTCCTGGCGCACGGAGTGGCATAAACAAAAAATATTTTCACAGAAGACGTCGCGATTCGCGTTTGGAAAAAGAGAGCGCGCGACGCTGGGCGCATAATTGGACGAGGCGGGTTCAAACGTTCATTCTTCGCGCGCCGGGCGACATTCCGCGGCTTTTGGTATGCCGAATCCGGCAAAAGAGCGCTAAACGCACGGGAACCAGCGCGGAAAAACGCGACGAATTAAAACAGCTCGAACTCATACTCCGCGCGATAATTCACGCGTTCCAATTAATCGCGAACTTCGAAACCCGTTTGTAAATCGAACGCAGTGGTTTGAAATTTTTATATTACTCGATTATAAAAATTACCCAATATTGTATCATCCTATGGACGAGTGTCTGAAAGTCGAGGCGTATTTGCATCGACGTTTCGTACGTTACAACTCAATACTCGTACTAGGATTTATGGACGAAAGACAGAAGTCGACGGTGCAACGTTCGCGAGCGTTTTGCAAACTTAATTGTCGATCAGCGGCGGATCAGATATCGAGATTGCATTGTAGGATCGCGCGTAAACAAAGATCGACTTTCCTTTCGTTTCGTAACGGGGGCTAGTTTCGGCTATCGACGGGTTCGATCGCGAACCGATCCGACGATATCGATTCGCAAGGATTCCGCGGTTCCACCGTTTGCGAAATCGGCGCGCAGCTGTCGAGAGCGCGCGCGATATATTTAAGCGAGACCGTCTATTGGTAAACGAACCGGAATCTGGGCCAGTTACAACACCTGTCGACGAACGGCCCGACCTGGGGAACCTTCGGCGCAGAATCGTTCGCCGCGACGAATGCCAAATTTCGTTCGCGCGAGCGAAACCGTTGGCGCCAACGATGACGTTTCCCCTCGACGGCAAGACTGCAAAAAATCGGTCTCTGTCTCGCGACTTTTGGAACAGAATACTATTCGAAGCTTGCAATCCGCAGTGTTGACAAGTTTTCAAAATAGCATAGTGTTTCAAAATTACAAAATATTCTGGCTACGTCCGCCGTTGATTTTAGTGAAATGTCAGAAACTGAAACGCTTGGATTCTATTTTACGTGATAACCTTTTAGAATATTATAATTTGATATCGAAGATCACTCAAACTCTACACCGAAACGCATTTGATCTTACGAGAGAAGTAATCAACGGATCGTACAGTGATCTAAGAGTTTCGAAGATCGCGATTAAATTAGATATCATTGGAACCGGAGTCTTGACAATTCGAAGCCTGGCGCGAGCTTTCGACGCTTTGACACCCGATGCTCGGGGAATAATAGAAAATATGGACGCGGCACAATCGTGCAGATGAAACTATTGTGCGACGTGATACATATGCCCTTTTATCGATAAAGTTACGCGACGCGCATTGATTTAGAGCCGCGCGGTTATGCAGACACCCAGGAACGGTTTGCTCGCGAACAATGTAAACTGTTCGCGATACAAATTACAGCTGTCAACGGACGCGCTCGTAAAGCACAAGTGACGATTCGATCTTCGCGCCTACTCGACCGTAAGTCAATATTTACGAGGCGTTTAACGCGAAAGGGCAAAGTGCACGCGTCTCGCTAAAAATCCTGTCGGACGAAAAATGTCCAACCTTACGCGGATAAACAACCCTGGGACGCTGTAAATCTTGCGATATTTTATACTTTTGCCGACTGCGTCGCGTTCGCGGGAGAAACGAGACAATTTATGGTGTCGATAAGAGACGTTTATCGGGTAAACGGTGTAAACTTTAGTGCTCTAATAATTGTATAAACAGAGACAAGTGGTAAGGGACAAACTAAATTGGATTTCTCGTGAAATCTATCGGTTACACTTCAGAACGATGTTTATTCGACCTGAATCAGAAACTGTTGGGTACGATCTCTAATCAGTTAATCTCATTGTCAATGAGGGAACTTGGTCGTGTTTGCAAATGTTTTAGTACTCAAGCCGTTTCAGAATTGTCTTCGTAAATAGATTTGAAAGTCTTGAATATTTCGGAAGACACTATTGCCACATATTTGCATATTTTCAAGTTTTTAGGGTGTCTTAAAATCAATCGAATCGTCGAACGTTTATCGTGTTCCCAACATGCACGCGTTAATCCAAGGTGCAAGTAAGCGACGGTGTTATCAGCTACGCCTCCAAACTCTGTCGATACATCGCCCGGTATCATATACAAAGCGCCTTATCGTGAATATTTCAGGTATCGCCGTGTACCTCTCCGCTTTCGAACATTCGCGTTTCCTTATCGTCGCCTACTTCGGAACTTCTCGCAGGAGGAATCTCACGCGTGCACTAGCTCCGAACAAACTTGTCCATACCACTACAAACGCGCTGCAGTTATCGTCGATCGAGTTATAAGGGCCAGGGACGCGACAATGTATCCTATGAGTCAACCATAATTATACCAAGAACATCCATTTCCACGGACTTAACTATCTTTTGTTCTCGCCTAAAAACAGCAAGTATCGCAAAAAGTCTTTCGCAGGCTTGTATTTCAAGGCTTGGAGACGGAGTTCATATATTTTCTGCCCCCTGAGTAATGTTTACAGTATTAACACGTTGACTGCCAGTCTAAACCCGTGAAATTGTTTACGAGAAAAAAACTTCGATTCTAGACAATTGTAAACTACATAAAACTCGTAATAGTTACTTTCACAACTTTGATAAAATTTACGAAGCCTATTAAAATTTATTTTCTTTAACATTTCAACTTGAGAATTAATTTACTTTCACTGTTAAAAGTTCTGTCACCCATGTATGGGTGACGTGGCAGTCAAAGTGTCAAAGTAATCCGTCTTTTCGATCGTAAAACGCGTGTTCGTGGCAACGACGCTATTAATCTTTACGTGGCACAAGAACTTGACCAACAACGAGACATTCCCTAGGAATTCCGATCCATGCAAAATCAACTCAAGATCATTCTATGATATGTGGAACGGAGGAAGAAAGAAATCACGAGGTCCCCAAGACTCGTGACCCGCCAGTTAACCCAATTAATCCCAAATCTGCGCGTAACCATGTTGCATCAATAAACAAAGAAGGAACGGGGACACCTTAGAAGGCCCGGTATCACACGCGTCGCAACAAACCACAATTAACGCAGAGAATACCGTCCTGAGTGTCCGCCACGAGGAACTCGTCCCTCTCTCGATCCCGTCGTCCGTGACTTACGCCACATGTTCGTGACGCGTGACGTCCGGACCGATCGGGACCTGGACCCGCTCCAGAACTAACTCCCGGCGAACATACTCGCCAATGTATCACTCCAACTTTCACTGGGTCCTCGTCGAGCGACCCTCGATATTCCAGCAGCCCCGGTCACCAAAACTCGTCACTATGTTGCACGCCCAGCGCTTACGCAACGAGCATCTCGACAGTCGCGTGACTCGCTCGACTTTAAAGAGGACGCACTCCGTTTTATCCAACTCCGAATTATGCACCGGTGAACACTAACCTGCTGTCTACCTAACCCGGGTACGATCCTCCGAATCGATCCTGAATCGAGCACACACATACACGGGAAACGTAGGCGACGCGCGTGGGCGCGCACCGTGCACGTGCGCGCGTTCGGATACACACCTGCACGTGTTACTCCTGGATGCGGTGGGACGAAACGGAGACCGTTGCACCTGGAAACACGCGTCCCGTCCCGATTCCTTCTCACTCGGGCGACCCGCGATCGCGGATTCACTGCTCGCGACGAGACACCCCCGCACCGTCCCCTTTTCTCTTATCCAAAATCCCGTGTCCCTGTGTTACGTGTTACGTGTTACGTGTTACGCGTGTCCGTCCCGGTGTGATAGCGTGATCGTGTATGCGTGTACAGAGGCAGCGTGGACGGTGGTGGGTGTGTGGTGACCAGCGTCCAGGGTGCGCGGGCGTGTTGTTCGACGACGACGTGCCGCCGCGACTCGGTCTGTCAGATCGGAGACGCGCGTCGACGCTGATTACGGTCGAGAACGTGATAGCGAGCGAGGAACGGGTAACACGCAGCTTGGTGTACCAGCGGAGACTGCCGGGTTCCCCTCGGTCTCGCCGAGTGCTGGCCGGTATAGTGGAAAGATATATAGAACGCTCGTAACGTGTGTATACACCGCTCCTGGATACAACGGGCCACCGTGGAGGGGGAACGAGAGCGAGAAGGACAGCGATCGCGGGCGAAGGAGGAGGGCAGGATAGCGTGGAACGATCAGGAGAGAGGGGGCAACACGCTCTAGGCGCTGTGACGTAACTCGAGTCATCCTGGATGTACGGCCGTGCTTGGAGGGGAGAAGAAGGGGAAGAGTTCGAGCGGGTGGGGGCGTACCAGCTGGAGGGGAGATCGCAAGGGCGCGATGGTGGGGCGAATGAACGAAAGGAGGGGAGGGGATGGCGGTCATTAGTGCTACTGGGACACGGAAGCGAATCCTCGCTACACTCCGACCCTCTCCGCGGCCCGTTTCGCGACCCGGCACCAGTAACCACCCACTCTTTTACACTCTCTCTCCGTCGTTCCCCGTTCCTTCTCTTTCTTTCCGTTTCTCCGCTCGCCTCCTTCTACTTCCCGTCGCGTGCATTCTCTCTCCTCGTCCGATCGCCCCGTCCCGCTTCCTGCCTCGCGTGTTCTATATAACCCGCGGCCCGGGGGTGCGCCTGCACTCTGCAGCTGCATGCAACCCCCTTTTGCAGAGACCCGCGCCGGCTACGAGAACATCGCCGTAGCGATTAGGCCGCGCTCGCGACCTCGTCCTTGTCAGCCAGCCAAGATCGGGGCCGTTACGTTCCCTCGCGCGCCGCTCAACCTCGGCTGCGTGGTTTTCTTTGAAACGGCACGCCTCCAAAGGACGGAATGCGTTGACCCTTTGCCGGTCCTCCTACCACGGCAACCGGCTTTGTAGCTTAGTTCACTTGGACCGCGGATTTACGAGATCGTTCCGCAAGAGATAAAATAGCTTCACGGCGAACGGATGTCCCCTCTTCAAAACCTGTGAAAGACCCTTTGACGATCGCGGGTTTTCCTTGTCGATTAGATTTCCCGGCGACGGCAGAATTACGCCGCCAAGGGATGACTTTATTCAATGACATCTGTAGAAATTAATTCATTTTACTTTTAATATATTTGTATTTTAACATTAATACTACTATACACCGTATTGAGCGAGTAGTGAGAGAATTTTCGTGGATTTTGTGAGGGAGAAAGAGAGAGAATCGTATGAGAATTTACCGTGTGTTTGGGTGAAGTTTTTGTCATATAATAAACGTTACTGTTTTAAAAAACACCTGTAAATAATTCATTTATACCTCGAACCCCATCCACGAGCGATTTGATACAAATAATTCCAACAGTATTTTCAGTTTTAACAGAAGAATAGGTTTTATTTCCGACTGCAGGAACAATTATGCATCCGTGGACCGTGACATGGTAGTAAAGTGTAAATTGGCCCTCGTGCCAAAATGAGTTTGACACGCCTTGCGTTGGAACTATTTATACCGTAGGCTAGTTCAAAGTCTGCGTTCTCCGAGCTCTGTTTCTTTTGTTATTAAGAATAAACGCGACTCTGGAATTAAATTAATTCCAAGGCGAAATCGATAAAACCGATACCTCTTATTGAGTTTCACCGTGCACGGTGCTATCGGTGAAAAGGAAGGGAGGAAAACGCTGTTTGAAATAAAAAATTACTCCGCGCTGAGTGGCGGATATATCCTATTCCACGGTAAAATGCATCAGGATTTCCATAAGCGAATCCCCCGTACGGAGACATTTCTGTCGCGGAGGGGGGAACAAGATCGATAGGAAGTTGCTCGACGTGGGATTTAAAGGCACGTAATTGATTTCCTCCCGTTGCCGGATGGTTCTCCATTCTGCACGCGCCCTTTACCATTTCGCCGGAGAGGTCGGAACGGCCCACGCGTGCTGGGCGTGGCGAGAAATCAGTGTTCGCCTCGAGGAAACCTGGAGGATCCTCGTCGAAGGTCAAACGATCGTCCGCGGTCGCGGCCAGAAATCGCATCCTGCGAGACCGCCCGGAATATCGATTCGCGTTGTAGCGAACTTTGACATTTCGGAATTATATGGAACGAGCCAAAGCTTGAAACGTTCCGGGTCCTCCCTCGAAATCCCGATTTCGAAATTCCTATCTGGCTTTATTTTCGATTTTCCTCTTTCTAGAGAAATGTCAATCGCCGATCCTAAATCACACAAAAGCTCAACAACACCCACAAGCGACGTTTCGACTGGCATAATTTGCCTCGACACTAATAAATTTCGAAATCGTGGGTCAAGGTTTGGACACTGTCCTTGGATGCGTTTCTCCGATCGACGTGGAACAGTTTCGAGCCGAATAGGATTGATTCCTGGCTTCCGTGTATCGACAACGAGCATCCAGCCGGTGTCTATAATTCTATAATTAGGCACGGTTTAATTAGGGATTGCGCGAATGTAGGACACCCACTTGTTCTCCGGAGTGGAGCCTCGACGATGATCAGATTTTTGTTGCTCGAGGGTTACCCGATCGGTTTTTGTACGATCGATCGGGGTTAACGAAGATGGGTGGTCCCAGATTTCGTCGAAGCGATTCCTGGACGAATCGCCAGCGAACGCAGGAACAAGGAAAATCGATCTCTCGTTCGCGCAAGGAGGACATCTCGTTAGGAGTTGAACGATTAGAGGCGGTGGTTTGTTGGTTCAAACATTTAAAATATTGCGGGCAAACACGCGCGAGCCCCTTTGTGGACTGCACGCAGATAATGTCGTAACGATCGTGACAACTTTAGACTTGTTTACCAGCAGATGATAATTACTCTGTTGCTTTTGGTATGAGGTATTTGTTCAATACGGACGGAATTCTTTTACAAATAAGCTTGAGTTTATTAGATCGAAATATGTTTTTCTATTATACCATTGTTATACAATTTTCGTTTTCTTTCGAACACGGAATCGATACTTGACACTGTTAACACGTCATGCATATATGCATCTTTGAAGCTACGATATTCAAATGCGAATGCCTCTATATAGAAATACGGTATGAAAGGAAAACGCGTTTCTCTAAATATGAATGATCGAGAAGTTCAAAATAGTTTCCAGGCAAAATTTTATGGAACCATACATGTCGACAGTGTTAAATGTTTTCACGTATGAACCACGTGCTTCTGAATAATTGTTGACGTACAACTGCCTTCAGCAGGTGTCTCATGACGCACCGTGTGTGACGTTTACTGTTGATTTAAGTTTCTCGTGCTCGTGTTACTCTGTCAGCTGATCGACTCAAAAAATAGAACTGGTAATAAAATTGTAGCTTTTCGCAGTTGCGATACGATAACTGAGTCTGACGTTGAGGGGTTAATTCTAGTATAGTCCTCGAGTTCAGTATTTATTATGTCGAAATACAAAATTTAATGATATGAAGTACGAGACTGACTGTGAATAATTACAAGGAGATGCCAAGTAAAGAATATTTAAATGATAGAATCGTTTCGACATCTACTGTACCCATTCTCCAAGCAAAGATGTGACAGATCACGTGAGAAGAGGATTCCCAGGTCACGAATTGTATTATTAAGATGTTTCCAGGTTTGTCCCGATAAATTTCGCGTCGAAAGCGAGCTCGTAACGAGGATACGTTAACCTCCAGGATATCAACGTTCAGGCCACTCGAGGAACGCTTAGGTTACCGAATGGCTCGAATGGAACGTCTTAGGTGGTTTCCGGTGTCTCGTTTACAGTTCCGGCAGGATCGTGCGGCAGGTGCGTACGACGCTCACGTGATCGTCGCGGCGCTCGTTCACGGACACGCCGAGAGCGTCGCCAATGGAACGCGCAATTTAATTGAAACACGCTTGGCTCGTGTGCATACGAGTTACGTAAACCTGCATGATCTCGCGTGAGCAATAAGAGGACTAACGCCCGTGAAAATTCACGATGTACTTCGTTAATCGTATGCTGAACAGGTGTCTGCGATTTATCGTGCCCCTCGTTTCGCGATACACGAGGCGATAAAACTGTTGCACGAAATACCAATTTCCATCCTAAATGTAAATCTTTTTTGTAATTTATTTCTTTAAAATGATAAAACAAAACACATAAGCGAAAAATTAAGAAAAAAGATAAGCTTGCTTGGAGTATTTACCATCTATTTCGTGAGAAACTTTGTTTGAGTTAAAGTAGAGTGGTTTGTTGGTATGGATGAATTTTTTTATTAAGAGCTTCTTTTAGCGAATTTGAAAGTTTTGCCTGGATTCGAGAGGTTTCGTATTCTGTACAAGAGAGCAATATGTGTTCGAGGGTGTTGTAGCTTATCACAGTAAGGTAGAGGCGCCTTCTTGCGTAATTCTCCTTTGGATACTGTTTAGAATGACTTGGTTTCTAACGGCCTTCTCACCCTACCGTGAAGAAAAATCATCCGAGTTGATGGACAGCTTGGTTTCCCAAAGTTCCATTTGTTTTCTATTTTTATCGTAACCAGCACGTGGCGATTAAGACGGTATTGAATAAACCGATCCGCGTGCCGCTTACAGCTCGTCGCAGACTGCTCCGACGTTCGTTGAATATTAATCGCCGCGGTGAATAAACTCCTTATCGCGGGAGCGTGTATTTAATTCTCATCTGCCGGGTACACGGCGCATAAATCGCTCGCTCGTACAGGGTCCGAGTTAATTCCCGAAATTTCCCCCCTTTGGAGGATTTGATCGATACGCGGTGACACGGATTCCAGCATGCCGGACGTCTCCTAACGCAATTATTCGCCTTCGTGGCGGTAATAGACCCCCATGGATGACCGCCATCGCATTTCTCTATTTCGCGCGAAAGAAAAATCTCTATCGGCGATCGTTTCGCCCGCGTAACACCAACAAAGAAGTTCCATTATTTGAAACGGGCTCGTGAATTATTCAAAAAATTTTGAAACCGGAAAGTCGTCCGACGGAACCGTTCCTTGACGTCTGAGGTCATCGGAAATTGGACGATAACGTACCCGTGATTTTCGTCTCGAGAGTGCTTATCTTTCCGGTCAATATTTTACCAGCATATCTCGAGCCCGATAGTTTTGAAATCAGTTTCACGGGCGAAAGAATCTTTTCGA